ACATGCATGCTGCCAATAGTAAGAGGGATAGTAAAACTCCCTGGATCCTTGCGCTTCTCGGGTAGCTTGTTCTGCAGGATAGCAGAACACTCCTCGCTCAGCAACACTGTCGAGAGATCCCCAAGTTTCTTCTTGTTGGTGCAGAGATCTTTCATGAACTTGGCATACTTGGGCATCTTCGACAGTGCCTCCATGAACGGTATGCTGATGTTGAGCTGCTTCAACATTGCCATGAACTTGGCAAACTCAGTCTCCAGCTTGTCTTTGTGTAGGCTAGTGGAGAAGGGAAGCTGGGGCACATGCTCATTAACCACTGGTTGTGGCTTGGGAGCAGGGGCTTCCTTCTCCACCTGCACTTCTGCATCGTCGGCTGGAAGTGCTGAAGCAGTCAGTGGTTCCTCTTGTCTGGCCGGGACAGGATCAGCAGATATGGTCCTTGTCGCAACCGTCCCTCCGGGGGGTCCGTATGTCGTCGCGTCGGCTGTTTTGGGAGTCGCCATCGATCTTACTTGGAGTGGATCGAACACTCTTCAAATCGGCTCTAACCTTAGTGTCAGAACCGAGGCATGGTCTGCGAAAATAAAGTTCTAGGTTCGGGAGTACGGTTACGTGTGGGGAAGTTAAGCAACACCCCCACAACGCCCTAAATCGGTACTACTTAAGTCGATAAGTTTTTATGCAAGTTGGGTGTATTTTAGTAAAAATTTTGTAATCTTAGGGTCCCACTGGACCATTAAAAAAAAAAATTAAATCGTATTAATGGTAATTTAATTGTACGTCCACTGACGTAAACGATAAAGTTAATTGGTTATTTGGACTCGAATCTTATCGGTTGCCTACGTACCCGTTAGACGGGATCAAAGTCCACGTAGTTCGTTCGGACTTTGATAATTTTAAATAAAATTATTAACACGTTCCACTGATCATGGTTCTCGTGTCAAAATTTATTGTTAATAAAATTTAAGTTGATATTATGAAATTATAAAAAGATAATATAAGGATTTCAGTTATTAAGAGGAAATTTGACTTATTGGAAAAGAAACGAGATAAACTTAATCCGCATCTAACATTTCATATTAAGGATTTTAAATATATAAAACTATACGGGATGATTTTATTAATGGATGATGGGCCAGTAACCCAACTGGCTAAGTTGCCAGACTCAGATTGTGTTCGATTCCTAGAATGAGGGTTCGAAACACGTAAACCACGATTTTTTGTTGATCTCGTTTTAGTGCAGAGAAGGGGAAAGGGCAGTTTGGTCATTGCCCAAAAACACGGTGGCAAGGGTGTGTTAATTTCCGGAAACCGAGGAGGGACTCTCGATCTACCTCTTTCTACTCTCGGTTAACTCTTCGGTGAGCTTCTCTTAAACATGCACGCTTAGATCTAATTTTTTTCACGCAAGACGTGATTTTAATCTTGATTTTTGTTTGGGTTTTTGGTGTTGGACGAGGGGTGAAGGGGAATCGCCGTCGATGTGAAACGCCGGCGATAGGGGAAGTAGACGGGTGAGCAGTGGCGGGGCCGATTTAATTCCGGTTTGTTATCCTATTTAATCGATTCCAATTTCTAATTGTTGATTTATTTTGGTGCAGGTGTTGAAAATTTACCGATCTGGGTAAGGTTTGCTAAACCTGACCTAGTAAGATTGACAGGGTTGAACTAAGTAAGAGATGAATTTTTTTTATTTTTAGTTTAATTATGGATATGTTTTCATGGAAAATGGTTCGGCGCATAGACTTGGTAATCTGAAATTTTTACTATATGAAAACCGTGGGTTTGTTTTGGACTAAAACTGGAATTTGGATCTAATGGGTTTCGGACTAAACTCATACTTCTGGTTTTGATAAAAGGAAATACTAATTTTTGGTCAGTTTTGGTTTAGAGATTGATCACTTACTGGAGTTGTTTCTGTCTAACCTAAGTAGGGAAAAAAAAGATCTCTATAATGAAAATAGGACTTACTTTTGGCTTCTATAAATCATCTGTCACTGCTTGTGATTCCTACTAGACAATAGTTGTAAATCATTGTTATTGCTTGTGATTTTATTGGATCATGATTTTTAATTGATTGATAAATTGGTAAGGGTTTTGCGAATTAGTGATTTTGCTTAGATATGGATCTAAGCAAATGACGCCTACAATGTAATTTTACCTTTTTGGATAACTTAGTCTAATCGAATTTTGATATAATTTGTGTATGGTGAACTGTTTTTATCAACGGTATGCTAAAGGGAAATATGAACGCATGACAGAAGATTAAAATAGACTGGAAATTAATGCAGAAATAATGAGTAAATGCAGAATCGAAATGAGCTTTATCTGAATAGTAGAGTGCTTAAACGAAATACATAGTAGCAGTGATATGAAGGAACTAGAAGGTGGATTCCACAAGGATAAATTCGTGAAAAGTAAGAGCTATATCATTCAATGAAAAAGTTTTCGGTTTACAAACACCAACCTGGTGGTCGACTTTGAACTTGTGGACAACTTTAGATCTCCAAGTAGACCATCAACTATTACAACTTCGAATCAAGTGGCCAAGAAAGAAAATGAAGGAAAATATTTCTCTGCTTTCTAATTCCCAGCGTTTCCCCTCTGCTCCCCTCTACAAAACAAGAGCTGAAAGAGATCATTTATACTAAAAATGACGAGCCACGTGTCATGTGTTGATTGGTTATTGTTGAGGCTGAAATTGTGTTGCCTCTCTCTGATTGGTCGAATTTGAGGCTGCATATTAGGCCTCCACCTACTAAAGTCGGTTCTGACTTGTCAGGGCCTGTTATGGATATGGTTATCCATTGGCTTCGGGCCGAGTTGGGCCTGCAGTTACGGGCCTGAGTATGGGTTTGGTCTAGTCCTGAACATGGACTCCGTTTTGGGCCGAACTGGGCTCCGTTTTGGGCCGAACTGGGCTCTGATTCTGGGCATTAACTAACTGATTCTTCTTCTTCTCTTTTTTCTCTTTGCAGGTGCATTGCTGATGGTCTTCCACTCTTCGGGTTGGGCTTGGTTCTTCGCTTTTAGATAGAAACATATTCTCTCTTTCAAATTGTATTTGAGGATTGTATGCGTAAATTGGAACTCTTCGTAGTGATGTATGATTGTGTCGATCTTCCAATTCTTCGTTGATATTCTTCTAGCTTTTACCATCAAACTTTGGATAATTCTCTAACACGAATTGCTAACCAAGACCCATGTTGCTCCTTGATTTGGTTTCATGAACCAAGTTTATTGTGTCGCACTTGATATTCCCGTGATAGACGTTAGACCGGACAAAATGTGGTGTCTACAGTTGCCCCCCTTTGTATATCTCTTTGTATAAAGAGTTATACAAAGTTCTTGATAAGACACCACATTTTGTAAAACTCTGATGGCGATTGCGTTGTATCACAAAAAGAGTGATGCTTGAGTGTAGTGAGAAAAGCTGGTAGTTGTTTGTAATCGAAATGCGAATGTTGATTGTAACGAAATCACATTTTTCTATAGCGTTTGCCAACGCGAGTTTTACGTTTTTGCAAATTTGTTTGCTAATGCTTGAAATTGCATTTTCATATAGCGTTTGCCAACGCGGGAAATTTACTTTTTTATATAGCGTTCGTCACCGCGGGAAATTACATTTTTATATAGCGTTTGCCAACGCGAGAAATTTAGATGATGGTTAATGATGCGGGTTTACGTTTTTATATAAGCGTTCGCCAACGCGGAGTTGTTTTTTTATAGCGTTCGCCAACGCGGAGACATGTTTATATAGCGCTTGCCAACGCGGGGACGTGTTTTGTATAGCGCCCGCCAACGCGAGGACGTGTTTTGTATAGCGTTCGCCAACGCAAGGACGTGTTTTGTATAGCGTTCGCCAACGCGAGGACGTGTTTATATAGCGCTCGCCAACGCGGGGACGTGTTTCTATAGCGCTCACCAATGCGGGGACGTGTTTCTATAGCGTTCGCCAACGCGGGACGTGTTTATATAGCGTTCGCCGACGCGGGGACTTCAGGTTTTCTAGTACGAAATTAGATGCGATATTTTCTTGGATCTTGGTAGACTTTGAAAGTTGAAACAGACAACTTCTGAGGTTCTGATGAGATGCTCAATGCATGTGTAAAGTAAAGATGCACATGTTTTTTAGAAATGACACTATGATGTATCATGTTAAATAATGATGTCATGAATGCAAAATACATTGTTTTAGTTGTTGGTCCTGGGTTTCTTTAAATCGATCATCCACCAGGAATTTTGTCATTGTCTTTGGAAGACTTGATCCTTAATTGAAATCGAAACTCGATAGTGAGAGCTCTTGGGTATCCGCCTCTATGGTGCAGAGGTAGGGATATTGGGTACTTTGTTGCTTTGGTGCATGATGTCTGGGAAACCCAACCTCTTAGGCTTAGGGTTTGGAATAATTAGCTCGGCCAGGGGGCACTGCCCTTGGTGGTATTTGTTGCAATGTAAGCGATATTTGCTTGGTTAAGAAGATCTATCATCTTGAGATGTATCTTGTCAGGATTGATTTTTCGGATTGAACTTTTGATTGAGTCTATCTGAGATGCAAGGAGTCCTGATGTATCATATTGCCCTGTCTTTTCTTTCTTGATTCCCAAGGTGGGTAGTACAACCTTCTATGAGGTTGCGTATTTCTTGGTAATAGAGTATATTGTGCTTCTTCTTGTAAGTATGTCTTTGGAGAATAGTTTAGTTGACCAGCTGGTCCCAAGGAACTTGAGTGTGATACAAGTTCTCCAAAATTTCTTCATAAATGGGGGAGTTGACAAGTTGAGTAGTCTAGCTACTTAGTACCTTGAACTTCCTCTGAGTTGCCCCCATTTTGCCTCCAATGATATGTTATTTATTCCTCCATCTTCCGGAACGAAGAGTGATTTTTATCATCCTTGACTTGGGATAAATGCAACAACGTCTGAAAAGAACTTTGTTGAAATAACATAGTGAAAACTCATTTTTAGATTGTGAAGCTCTTGTTTAAGGTAAGTGTACGCGAGTTGAACAAATACGTTTTCTTGTGTGACTTTTGCCACAAACTTTGTTTTCATAATGCTCAAAATCGGTTTTGTTTCAATAAGAGTGCAAATCAAGCCATGAGAATATATGTGATCTCTCACTCTCGTCCTTGACCTCTTTTTCACTTTCACTCATTCCTATGGATGTTTTAAGTTTACGACAATTCGACTACTATCAAGATTCCTGTCACCATGAGATGACTCTGTCCATGTTGACGGCCACATGAGCTTGAGGTTAAGGTTTTTCTTAACAAGAGAGCTTTGTGTGGTTGATTTAGGTGATCTCATATGGTCTCGTCGTGGAGGTATATGATTTTTCATGAAATGAGGTTATTGGTTGATTTTGATTGTGGGATCTTCTTATCCTGAAATTTTCACTGTCCTGTAGCAGGGTTGAGACAATGATAGAAGGAAGATCTTTGAGAGATTTTGGCCATCTCATGACTTTTGTCGAGAAATTTTGGCTTGCTCCCAAAGATATGTGGCTAATTGATGGGAATAGGGGATTCGTATAAGGTTTGTAGTTTCTCTCATCGAGGAAGTCTTTCTTTTTCTTGGAAATGTTGGTGATTTCCAGAGAGTATATCTATAGCTTGGATTGCCCTCTTTTCTTAAAATATTGGTTTTGAGAGGCAAGAATGAGTAGGAAGCAAATGAACTCTTGCTCCAACCCAGAATGGTATGCTGAGGAGTTCTTTTGTGTAATGGTAGTGACTGCATGGTTTTTTTTCTTATCACGTAAGCTTTTGCTTGAGCTTCCTTGGATATTGGTTGGAAGATCTCTTGGCTGAGTGGTTATGACTTTAGATAACATAGAAAGGGGCATCTAGTTGTAAGTCCCACAATGCTTTTTTGTTGTTGCTTCACTTTTGAAATTTTCACATTTGTGAGACTTGCTTGACTTTGTTATGCCCCTATGTGTTTCACTAAGTCTTCAACTGAAATTTGTGTTTTTGGGCACGATCACAAAAGGGTTATGACTTTGTCTTGATGGCTGACAACATGAGTGTCTCTCTTGATGGCTGGGCTAATTGGATAGTTTTTCAAACACTATTTTGGTGACGAGATTCGGCTAAATGTGACAGGATTCTTAAAATAGCCTGATGTCGTATCCCCACTACATCCCTTGACTATCATCTCACATGATTTACGGACACCAGTGGGGTGTTTATATACTCAACATAAGTTGGCATTTTGTACTCTCAACACCCGTGGGGTGTTCAAAATCGTGACACCAGTAGGGTGTTCATAATCTCTCAACACCAGTAGGGTGTTCATAGTTGTTTGGTTTGATAATCCCATGGCTTAATTTGAACACATGAAATTGATTTATGATTTATTTCAGAGAATTCAAGTCAAAATTCGTGAAATGTATTTTTATTACTTGGAAAGATAGGGACCATTGATGCGAAATCCAAAATCGAGATTGATAATGATCACGAAATGCTCCGAGAAGGTAGAAACATGAGTAACCTTTTATTTCTCATGATGAAAGCAAAAGGTGATACATTTTTATCGTGGCGAGCTATCTCGATATTTATTTGGGGTTATGCTTATTGACTTCCATGAGTCTGCAGCAGGTTGTTGTTGACGTGTAAACGATCTCCTCTTATTCAAACTTCAACCATCCGGCGTTTACCATGTCTTGAACTTTTATCTTCAGAGCGTTGCAATTTTCCACTGAATGCCCTTGGACTCCCGAATGGTAATCGCAATGCTTGTCGAACCTATACCACCTTGGAAATGGAGGTTGCAGAGTCTCGCCCGGAATGGGGGTGATTAGATGATCATGGAGTAATCGAGGAAAGAGTTCGGTATACGTGACCGGGATGGGGTCAAATACCCTTTTTGCTTTCCTTGTGATACTAACATCTCGATTGGCACCTTGTCGTGGTATTGGTGTGGGATGTTGGATCGTTGATTTCATGAAGTTTGGTGGTTGCAATATTGGTGTGGTAGTTGCAACATATGGGAGGGCTTGATTATTTTGAAAATTGCTTTTTCGTGTTTTCTCTTTTGCTTCTTTGTGGGATGAATATACCTCTTCTTCCTTTCTCTTTTTCTGGCTTAGTCTCGCGGAGCCTTCTGGTATTTCCATCTTGCCTTGCAGGATCCCTTTTTCTATCCTTTTACCGATTATCAAAAGATCGATAAAGTTAGTCGTGGTTATTCCTACCATGTTGTTGTAGTAGGGAGGCTTGAGTGTGTCGAAGAAGATTGACACCATTTCTTTCTCTGATAGAGGAGGTTGAACATCTACGGCTTTTGTTCGCCATCTGTGGGCGTATTCGCGAAAAGATTCTTTCTCATGTTTTTCCATATTACGCAAGTCCTCCCTGTCTGGAGCTAAATCTTGGTTATGCTTATAGTGTCTGAAGAATGCATCAGCCAGATCTTGCCATCTCGTCACCTTTGATCTTTCGAGTTGCATATACCATCTTAGAGCTGGACCGCTTAAGCTATTCTGGAAGCAATGTATCATCAATTTTCCATCCCGAATATGGTTAGCCATCTTGTTGCAGTACATAACCATGTGACTTCTAGGGCAAGTAGCACCTTCGTACTTTTCAAATTCTGGCATTTTGAATTTGTGAGGTATTATCACATCTGGGACCAAACATAATTGCGATGCATCTGTGGGCCCGTATGACTCCGTTCCTTCTATAGCTCTTATTCGTTCATCGAGTCGTTCAAGTTTTTCTTTTGATGTGGCATCGATCACAGTTTCTTTTAACTTCCGTCTCCCTTGCGAGTCATCAAGTTTTGATGATCCAATTTTTTCTTTATCAAGCTTCTCGTTTATGGGTATACTGATGAATTTCTTGCTCGAATTGCCCCCATTATGTGGCTTGCCATTATCGTCATTGTAAATTGACATTTCTTCATCATTGGTTGCTACCTCTTTCTTCTTTGCTGACATCATCCCTATAAGCAAATTTAGTTGATTTTTCACCTCGTCGACACCTTCTAGCTTTTGATTGAACCCAGATAGCTTTTCATCGAATACGGTCAACTTTCCTTCAACATCACCCATCTTCTTCTGGAATGCCTCCATGATGAGCTCAACCTTGATCTTGTCAAATACTTGACTCTTTCCACGTGGATGAATGATTTTAGAAACCCTGAACCATCTTAAAATTGACAAATTATATTTTTCATTTTTATTATGGGTATGTATATGCGTGATGCTTATGCAAGTGTTAATGATGTATGAATGCAAATTTATCTTTCATCATGCATGCATTTTTATCTTTTTATGATAAGTTGTAAATGAGTGAATGAAAATGTTACGAGAGAATGATTCTTATGAATTTTGAAAACATTTTTCATTCATACAATCACATAGTTTTGCGAGTAAAAGATAAAACACAATATCAATAAATCACAAGCAAACATCCATTTAGATAAGCAAACACATATAATCACATCGTTGCCCTATTTAGGTAGACCTAAGGCTTTCGGGAAGTGTAACGACATGGTTTTAGGGTGGTTTCGGGATAATTTTGGACGGGTTAGGGAGGCCTCTATGCTTACTATATGCTGGCAGGGGAATTCCTAGGGATTTGGTTCCCAAGTTGTATCCTGCCGTAGCCCTTTCGAACTGACTAGATACCTCAAGATCATCCTCGGATCCGAGTTCAACTTGGTTAGAAAGTTTTGCGTGACGACCACTACTACGGAAGTCACGGTACTCCTTTCATTTTTCTAAAGGGATAGCTCGGGCGTAGAGCTTTTGTGCATGAATGCAAAATTTAAATTGCGAAAATATAATTGCGCAAATAAGTAGTAAACACTCAACATGTAAAAGAAAATAAGAAAACTTATCGACTTAATAAGTGTAGCTCGACTCTCGAAGTCCCCAGCGGAGTCGCCAACTGTCGCAACCGTCCCTCCGGGGGGTCCGTATGTCGTCGCGTCGGCTGTTTTGGGAGTCGCCATCGATCTTACTTGGAGTGGATCGAACACTCTTCAAATCGGCTCTAACCTTAGTGTCAGAACCGAGGCATGGTCTGCGAAAATAAAGTTCTAGGTTCGGGAGTACGGTTACGTGTGGGGAAGTTAAGCAACACCCCCACAACGCCCTAAATCGGTACTACTTAAGTCGATAAGTTTTTATGCAAGTTGGGTGTATTTTAGTAAAAATTTTGTAATCTTAGGGTCCCACTGGACCATTAAAAAAAAAAAATTAAATCGTATTAATGGTAATTTAATTGTACGTCCACTGACGTAAACGATAAAGTTAATTGGTTATTTGGACTCGAATCTTATCGGTTGCCTACGTACCCGTTAGACGGGATCAAAGTCCACGTAGTTCGTTCGGACTTTGATAATTTTAAATAAAATTATTAACACGTTCCACTGATCATGGTTCTCGTGTCAAAATTTATTGTTAATAAAATTTAAGTTGATATTATGAAATTATAAAAAGATAATATAAGGATTTCAGTTATTAAGAGGAAATTTGACTTATTGGAAAAGAAACGAGATAAACTTAATCCGCATCTAACATTTCATATTAAGGATTTTAAATATATAAAACTATACGGGATGATTTTATTAATGGATGATGGGCCAGTAACCCAACTGGCTAAGTTGCCAGACTCAGATTGTGTTCGATTCCTAGAATGAGGGTTCGAAACACGTAAACCACGATTTTTTGTTGATCTCGTTTTAGTGCAGAGAAGGGGAAAGGGCAGTTTGGTCATTGCCCAAAAACACGGTGGCAAGGGTGTGTTAATTTCCGGAAACCCTAAGGGCAAAGGGGACATTTTAAAACTCGAGGTATATAAGTCTATCTAAGACTTAAGCAAACCCTAATCCTCTCCCCTAACCCCAAGCGGCGGCGCCCTCTCTCTCACTCTCTCGATTCCTCTCACTTCCCTCTTTCTTTTCCAGAAAAAAAAATATCAAACCCTAGAGTACCCGAAACAGAGGCGGCCGCCTCTCTCTCTCTCGTTCTTCTCATTCTCTTTGGCTTTCTTCCTCTCGTTCACTCTCTTCTCACTGCTTCTTTGAGACGAGAAGGAAGAAGAGGAAACACTAACCCTCACAAATCGTAACCCTTCTTCTCACCTTCTCTCGATCTGTCCTCTCTCTTTCGTCGGTGGTCAGAAAATCCCGACCCATCTACGTCAAATCTACCGAGCGCGTCGATCTAGGTATGATCAACATGCAGGCTTCTTTTCACTAGATTTGTATGTTTTTTTTTGTGTTTGATTCTGATAATTTGCTTTTTTTTATATTGTATTTTGATTGTAGAATAAAGGAGATTTGGGCGGCTAGGGTCACCGCCGGCAAGCCTTCGTCGCCGGCAGTGGAGACAGAAGACTCACCGTCGCCGAATCACGAAAGAGAATGATTAGGTTCCAACAATACCGGGTATGGTTTCGATCTAGGTTAGATTTTGGATTGCATGTAGGTTTATTTTCTTTTGATTTCTGGGTTTTTGAATGAGGTTCTAACCCTTTTTCTTGTTTTTCTTTCGGAGATCGATCCAAAACCGAGGAGGGACTCTCGATCTACCTCTTTCTACTCTCGGTTAACTCTTCGGTGAGCTTCTCTTAAACATGCACGCTTAGATCTAATTTTTTTCACGCAAGACGTGATTTTAATCTTGATTTTTGTTTGGGTTTTTGGTGTTGGACGAGGGGTGAAGGGGAATCGCCGTCGATGTGAAACGCCGGCGATAGGGGAAGTAGACGGGTGAGCAGTGGCGGGGCCGATTTAATTCCGGTTTGTTATCCTATTTAATCGATTCCAATTTCTAATTGTTGATTTATTTTGGTGCAGGTGTTGAAAATTTACCGATCTGGGTAAGGTTTGCTAAACCTGACCTAGTAAGATTGACAGGGTTGAACTAAGTAAGAGATGAATTTTTTTTATTTTTAGTTTAATTATGGATATGTTTTCATGGAAAATGGTTCGGCGCATAGACTTGGTAATCTGAAATTTTTACTATATGAAAACCGTGGGTTTGTTTTGGACTAAAACTGGAATTTGGATCTAATGGGTTTCGGACTAAACTCATACTTCTGGTTTTGATAAAAGGAAATACTAATTTTTGGTCAGTTTTGGTTTAGAGATTGATCACTTACTGGAGTTGTTTCTGTCTAACCTAAGTAGGGAAAAAAAAGATCTCTATAATGAAAATAGGACTTACTTTTGGCTTCTATAAATCATCTGTCACTGCTTGTGATTCCTACTAGACAATAGTTGTAAATCATTGTTATTGCTTGTGATTTTATTGGATCATGATTTTTAATTGATTGATAAATTGGTAAGGGTTTTGCGAATTAGTGATTTTGCTTAGATATGGATCTAAGCAAATGACGCCTACAATGTAATTTTACCTTTTTGGATAACTTAGTCTAATCGAATTTTGATATAATTTGTGTATGGTGAACTGTTTTTATCAACGGTATGCTAAAGGGAAATATGAACGCATGACAGAAGATTAAAATAGACTGGAAATTAATGCAGAAATAATGAGTAAATGCAGAATCGAAATGAGCTTTATCTGAATAGTAGAGTGCTTAAACGAAATACATAGTAGCAGTGATATGAAGGAACTAGAAGGTGGATTCCACAAGGATAAATTCGTGAAAAGTAAGAGCTATATCATTCAATGAAAAAGTTTTCGGTTTACAAACACCAACCTGGTGGTCGACTTTGAACTTGTGGACAACTTTAGATCTCCAAGTAGACCATCAACTATTACAACTTCGAATCAAGTGGCCAAGAAAGAAAATGAAGGAAAATATTTCTCTGCTTTCTAATTCCCAGCGTTTCCCCTCTGCTCCCCTCTACAAAACAAGAGCTGAAAGAGATCATTTATACTAAAAATGACGAGCCACGTGTCATGTGTTGATTGGTTATTGTTGAGGCTGAAATTGTGTTGCCTCTCTCTGATTGGTCGAATTTGAGGCTGCATATTAGGCCTCCACCTACTAAAGTCGGTTCTGACTTGTCAGGGTCTGTTATGGATATGGTTATCCATTGGCTTCGGGCCGAGTTGGGCCTGCAGTTACGGGCCTGAGTATGGGTTTGGTCTAGTCCTGAACATGGACTCCGTTTTGGGCCGAACTGGGCTCCGTTTTGGGCCGAACTGGGCTCTGATTCTGGGCATTAACTAACTGATTCTTCTTCTTCTCTTTTTTCTCTTTGCAGGTGCATTGCTGATGGTCTTCCACTCTTCTGGTTGGGCTTGGTTCTTCGCTTTTAGATAGAAACATATTCTCTCTTTCAAATTGTATTTGAGGATTGTATGCGTAAATTGGAACTCTTCGTAGTGATGTATGATTGTGTCGATCTTCCAATTCTTCGTTGATATTCTTCTAGCTTTTACCATCAAACTTTGGATAATTCTCTAACACGAATTGCTAACCAAGACCCATGTTGCTCCTTGATTTGGTTTCATGAACCAAGTTTATTGTGTCGCACTTGATATTCCCGTGATAGACGTTAGACCGGACAAAATGTGGTGTCTACAGTCCTACCGCTCCATGTAAAAATGGCATCCAGCTGCTGATGCTGGTAAGGATCTCGAGGATTCGGGACAGTGGTGGCAGGCAAAGTCCCCGGTGCCCTGGTGGTGGTCTGGCGGGCCAAGATGCCCACCTGGGTCTGCAGATCCTGCAAAATGGCACCCTGGTTCCTCTAACCTGCCTCCAGTGAGGCTACACTCTGGTCCAACCTCGTGATAGTCGCCTGGGTGCTCGTCATGAATGAAGCTAGAATGTTTTCCAGCTTCATCATCCTGTCATCTGGGGCTGGAGCTGCTGCTGGCTCGGCAAACTGGCGCTGGGGCTGTTGGAATGGCTGCCCCTGCCTAGGCTGGTAGGGCTGCTGCTGTGGGTCTGGCCCCTAGCGAGCCTAGAAGGGCTGCCTCTGCTGAAAACCACCTGCTGGTGCTGGGAAACCAGGTGGTTTAGTGGTGTTGCTGCTCCAGGCGAAGTTGGGATGCTGGCGCCACCCCTCATTATATGTAGTGCTGTATGGATCGAGGCGCCGCGCATTGGCGATGAAGGCCAACTGCTCCTGGGGTGTGGTAGACTCCCTCATAGCCTGGCAGTCCTCCACTAGGTGATTGGAGCTCTCACACCACTAACACTGAGCAACTGGAGGTGTAGCCAAACCTCTGCCCGGAATAAGACTGTTGGGCTGCTTCAATGTCTGCACCAGCTCAGCTACCTGCTGCTCGAGTCCGGATCTGGACTCCATGGCGTGCACACCACGGTCCCTGGAATGTCTGCCTCTGCTGCTCTGCCCCCAGGAATGATCTCTGGCAGCCAGTTTATTAATCATTTGGTTCAGCTCGGCTGGAGTCTTAGTGAGAACATCCCCTCCTGGGCATAGAGACTCAATCACCCTCTGGCTATCTGGAGAGAGGGCACTATAAAAGTTCCCCACTGTGAATGCATCACTGAAGCCATGATGGGGGCACTGCCAGAAATATCCCATGTACCGCTCCCATGCATCACGAAGTGACTCATCTGGCTCTTGGCGGAAGTGAGTGATCTCCCGCTGTATCTCTGTAGTCTTCGATGCCGGATAGTACCTGTGCACGAACTTGTCAGCCAGATCGTCCCAAGAGGTGATGGACAATGGGGGCTAGGTCCCCAACCACCTCTTAGCATTCCCCGCCAGAGAATGGGGGAAGATGAGAAGGCGGATTGCATCATCCAGGACACCATTCAGCTTGAACCCGTTCATCAGCTGCAGAAAACGGGAAAGATGCACCCTGGCCTCCTCATTCTTCAAGCCATAGAACTGGATGGAAGATGTAATGAGCTGAATCCAGCATGGCTTGATCTCGAAGTTGTTTGCTGGGATAGGCGGGTAGAGGATGACCGGGCGGATGTCACCAATCCGCGGAGTGTAGTAGTACTCCAAGGTGGGACCCGGCTGCGGTGGATGATGAACTCCATGATCCTGGGGTATGGGGTTGTTCCCCAGGACCTGATTCACCGGGGGAACCTGCTGAGGATTCCCCTGGTGTTGATTGTAGTCTTCCATCTCGTACTCCTCTTCAGAATCACTGCTCACGTGGCCGTCTATGCGCTCTTCCGTAGCCAGTCTAGCTCGCTGTTGTCTCCTGAGCTGGCGAAAGGTGCGGTCAATCTCTGGATTCAACTGCAGTAAACCTCCCGACTAGCTACGGGTCATGCACTACCTGCACACACTCAAGCAAGCAAACCCGTGAAGGCACAAGTGGAACAAAGTAAACAAAGCAAAAAGAAAAGCTAAATTAACAGAAATCACTTTTCTTCAACAACCTAGCCGTCCCTGGCAACGGCGCCAAAAACTTGACTCGACTCTACTGTCACTCCAGGAATTGGCCAAGTGAAACCACTTCCTAAAGCGTAGTATAGCGGGTTTGGGTTTAATTATCAACCCGGGTCCTAGATATGATGACTACTCAGTGAATTCGTGTTATCTAGCAATGAAACTGGAATGCAAGTCTAAACTATCAAACTAACAAAGCAGGTAAACGGTTGTATTCAGGTTAAAGAGGTCACCCGGATATGGTTCCCCCTAGACTGCAGTTAAGCCGGATTGTAATTACCAAGTTCAGTTTCTATGATAGTTATACTGCGGAAGGTTCTTAAACAGCCTGAAGTCTCGACTAAAGGTCTTCAGACCCTCTCAATCTGACTCTCTAGCGGGCGACTAACCTCCACCGGAGTAGACAGATTGAGGCCCTAAGAACAAAACCTCCACTACCGGAGTAAATCCGGTACAGAATAGTGAGTTGGCTC